AAAGACTCCTCTATGTGCAGATAGCCCCAGGGAGGTGGTGAAGGTTGACGACTTCAACCCATGAACTTCCCTGAGGACAGATCTGTGGCTCAGGGCAGTTGAGGGTTTTGACGGGAGGTCTGTGGGGGGAGAGGGAGGTGCCCCTCAGAGGAGGGGCACCCAGCGCCCAGAGAATAGGGGGTGGCCAGTGCTGACCTCGAGGCAGGAAGGCAGCAGAGGATACCCTCCTCAGTCTGCCGCTCCGGCAAAACCCGAGAAAGAGCTGTTCCTGCACTCACTTTTCATGCTGCTTTCATTTTTAGGAAAAGAAGATCCTACTACAAAAAAAAAGGCTCCATCATCAGTGAAACCAATGTGATAAATTTAAATCCAGCTGTAGAGTCACTCTCTTTTCTTACCCCAAGGTTGAGTTTTGCCATAAGCTCTGATATAAATCACCACATTTTATATCTTCCCTTCAACTCGGTAACTAACAGGGCAAACGACAATTCTCCCAGTGTGGTACCCCGTTCATGCGGTCAGTTACTCCCAACATCCCTGGGAGGCAAAGGGGGGGCTTCTTTAATTTTGCACATGAAGATACTGATGCGGAATAGATTTGCTTTGGTTAACTGTGAGCTGAGCTGCAGAAGAAAGCCCAAGACCCATAAACGCAGTGAGTCACGGGGCCACGCGGCCCTGCAGCTGGGGATCAAGAACCTCCATCAAGTTGGATGTGGTCACACGTTGTCAAAGCTCGCTGTAGGAGGAGAGAACTGACACAGCAAAGGAACAAAGTCAAGGCACTTTTCCCAGGTTTTCTGTTGCTCAAGTCCACTCTGTCTTTTCGTCCTGAGCAGGGAAGCGCGGTCGTTTTCTGGGTGCTGATGTCTGCGGGGCCAGGTGTTCAAGGTGGGCGCCCCTTCCCACCACGGGCGGGGGGAAGACTCAGCCAACCGCGGGGACCCTCCTTACAAAGGCCTGTGTCATGCCTGGGCTGGAGTCTGGCCAGTGGGGCCTGAGGGCGGGCCTGCTGGAGGCGGCTCTTCCTCACTCACTATAGGAGCAGCTTCGTCCTGTCGACACAGGACACCCTGGGTTCCCGAGGCTGAGAACAGCCAAGTGGGAAGACGGAACGGCATGGACCTGGGCAATGAGGGCCTCTAAGTCGGCAGCCTGACCAAACCAGGCCCTGTCCTCCTCTGTCATTTTAATGTTGGGGGGGGAACCTCCTAACTTTTGTTTCTCTCCATATCCTCAGTTTAATCTCCCCCCCCCAAAAAATTTTAAGAGGTATTCTGAATCTTAATTGAAGTATAACTGACTTTATATTAGATCTGGGTATGCATAGTGATTTGATATTTTCTTATGTTACAAGATGATCACAACGATAGGACTCATTACCATCTGTTATACAAAGACAGTACATAGTTTTTGACCATTCTCCCCACACTGTACATTTCATGCTCATAATTCACTTATTTTGCAGCTGGAAGCTTGTACCTCTTCACCCGCTCCCCCGGCCCAGCTTACCTCACCCCTCCCCCTCCCACCACAGTGTCCCCTTCAGCGGCCACCAGCCTGTTTTCTCTATCTATGCCTCCATCACTGTTTTGATCTGTTTGTTCATTTGTTGTTTTAGTTTCTATATATGAGTGCTATCACATGATATTTCTCTTTCTCTGTATGACTTACTTCACTTAGCATAATACCTCTTAGATCTATCCATGATATTGCAAATGGCAAGATTTTATTTCTCATGACTGAGTATTAGTCCACTGTGTGTATACACATCCCACGGCTTTAGCCCCTTGTCTGTGGACACATATGTTGTGTCCATATTATGCGGGGTATTATAAATTCTCTTTGGAAAACAAGCCTCTTCTGACTGGTGCTGTGATGACCTAGAAGGGTGGGCTAGGGGCGGGGTGGGCTAGGGGCAGGGTGGGAGGGAGGTTCAAGAGCCGGGGGACATGTATACTTGTAGCTGGTTTGTTTCATTGTACAGCCAGAACTAACACTGTAAAGGAATTATGTTCCAAGTTTTAAACAGTGATCACAGCACAGTGACAGCATATAACTTTAAACACCTTTTGAGTATCCACCAACAGTGTTAATGCACTTGGTTAACTGGGACTAGGTTCCTATGCAAAGCCAGCAGCCTGGCAGGGTTAGGCCCAATGGTGATGACTTTGGGATAGGACCAGTGGTGGAAGGCAGGCCTTTCATTCATAAACTTTACTATTCTTTACATTTTTAAAGCACAAACTACTTCCATAAATGTGTTAGAACTTCAGTGGCAGAGGTTTGGAAAAAATATCTACTGAACAAGTTAGCACATCCACTTTACAAAATATCATAAATCTGAGGCAGGGCTTGGAAAAGACAAGAGCCAGAGACTGTCCTGTCTTCTAACTGAGTCCCCAACCCAACCACCATTCTTCCATATTTCAGCTCCATAAATTGTGCTGCAAGGGGCAGGCTGACACGGAAAACTACTACCATCTGCGGAGAACGCTGGATGCAGCTATATTAAGATCCAAATGTAACGGATGCATAGTCCTCCCCTTTCCTAGGATTTTATGACCGATCGGATAACATTAAGATACCGAGTAGAGTGTCAACTTGAACTTCCAGTTTCTCTGCTGCACCAACATCTAACAAGTAATTTTTGTATTTATAGCCACATTGGGGTACTTCCTTGTATTTTTGTAGCTAGCTTTCAGAACTGAAAACCAGAAGACACGAGTGAACACTGTAAGGGACGAACATTTCAAAGAGCAATTTGAATTGCTTCTCTTTTCTGGGATCCTTTACAATAAGACTTGAGAACCAATCATTCTGAGTCAGACACTCAAGGACATCAAAAGAGAGTGTGAGACTCACAGAACGATTACAGACTGTAACAGTTATTATATGGATTATAACAGGTTATTAACGATAGCAAAAGAGCTAATAGAGCTAAATTAAACCATCTTTAGGCAGTGGTGGTGGTGGTGTGGTCGCTCAGTCATGTCCAACTCCTGTGACCCCATGGACTGCAGCCCACCAGGCCCCTCCATCCATGGGACTCCCCAGGCGAGGACACGGGAGTGGGCTACCACTTCCCTCTCCAGGGGATCCTCCTGACCCAGGAGTCAAACCCGGGTCTTCTGCATTGCAGGCAGACTCTCCACTGACTGGGCCACCAGGGAAGCCCATCTTTAGGCAGAAAGTCTCTCAAAGGATAATGAGAAGACAACCTGTCTGTCAGAGGCGGGGGAGCTTTCCAGGTGACTCAGAGCAGGAGACGCGGGCTCCATCTCTGGGCTGGGAAGACCAACCGAAGGAGGGCACGGCAATCCACTCCAGCATTCCCCCGCGAGGAACCCCATGGACAGAGGGGCCCGGCAGGCCGCAGACGGGGTCCCAGAGAGTCAGACACGGCTGAACGGACTGAGCACGCACTTTCTGTGAGGTCAAAGGTCTCTGCCACCCGGGGTCAATCCCCCGCATGTCCTCCACATCCTGTGGTGCCTGGACCCCCAGCCGACCCTCACTAGCCGCTCAGGCCTGGAGTCCTCCACCACAGCTGTCCCATGCAGAGTGCTCCCTAGGACCAAGCCCTTGCCTACTCCAAAGAGGGTGGGAACGTCAGGTGTGGAGGAGCTGACCATCTGAGGCTTAAGACAGCTTTGGCCCAGCTGCAGGCCTCTGAGACAGTGAAGTGGAGGGAAACAGCTTGAAAGGGTCCAAAAGCAGAGCCCTGTTTAACACCAATAAAGGTCCTCCCCCCACCCCAAGGGTAAACATACCGTCCCAGCTCCTCCTTCCCCTCCTGCGTGAGCCCCGGGCCGGCGCCCTGTCCGGAGAAGCACGCAGACGGCCCGACGCAGCGGCCGGCTCCCTCAGTGATGGGTGAGAACAGCCTGGGCGGGGCTGCCGCCCCGTCAGACAGGCGTCCAAGGGGGCTCCCCTCACAGCTCCAGCCTTCTCACTGTGCTTTGAGAAACAGAAACCAAGGCGCTTCGGAGAGCCCGGAGTGGCCGTGGGGCCAGCGGGAGGCTGCAGGGTGTCTCAGAAGCAGCCGCATGTTTCTATGAGGGGGGTGTCCCTGCCACGGATGCTTACTGTGTTCCTCGTCTCGGATCATCTAGTAGAAAAGCCTGACCTCGATGGGGCTGCCGACCTCTGCGGGAGAGCCAGCTGTGGCTCCTGATAGGAAGGGATGCTGGATGCAACAACACACTCTCCGCAGGCAGCTCTGTGAAGTGTCCCCTGTGAGCCTGCAGGGGCCAGAGCTTCTCTGCTGGACACTGAGCCCGGCCAGGCCCCAGCTCCCGGGGACACTGGCCTGGGGACACACACCAGCGACACAGGTGCCCCCGCATGCAGGCAGCTGAAACAGAAGGCGCTGCGTGGGGACACAGCCAGCAGCCTGCACCCCGCTTGCCACTGGGTGTCGACGTGCTTCTTCAGCCCCGTGTCAGCGACTCGGTGATGGAAGTGTTTTCTCGGCCACGAGAGCGGGTCCCAGCTCCACCTGATACATTAGCCAACAGGAGATCTGCAATAATGATCCTCTCTCTGACTGATAGGAGGCAGAGACAATGGGAAAAGAACCCAGGAGGCATCCTTGGGTGCCCCTCCGAAGACCCTCAGACTCCAGAGACAGCTCAGCTGCATGGGCTGGGCAGCAGGCACTCAAGCCGGCCGCTGGGTCAGGGAACTCCCGAAGGAGAGGGCTGCTTCAGGACTGAGAAGCCGGCAGCCGCACGGGGTCGGGGAGCTCTCGACATGAGGGGGGAGCCACACGGCCTGGCAGAAAAGCTCTCATTCACCGGGGAAGGCAGAATGTGGCAGGAAAGCCCAGTAGTTCTACCCAAGTAAACCGCGTGAACCAAGAGCCCAGAGCCAGAAGCACAGGGACAAGCCAGAGGGCCCCGCTTACCACGGCCCCGACACCGTCTGCTCTCGGAGACGTCTGAGCTTTTCAGCTACTTTTTGTTGGGATTTTTGTTTCCAGAATCCCAAGCATCCAGATGCCACGGTTCTCACGACCCTGCCACTTATCAGAGGTAACAGTTTGCGTGTATTTTTCTAAATTCTACACAACACACACACGTACTGGGGACAGAGCTTTTTCTTAATCAAGGATCTATCTTGGTATATAGAGAAGCAGTAACTCAAACCTATTTTTAATCCAGCAGAAAGGACCTGTGTGGGCCTTTCTCATGTTTAGAATGTGACTTCAGAGCTAATTTGATTCTTCTTCTCCCGCCCACATTTATTGAACACTTACTGTCTACCAGGCATGTGCAAGGTGCCAGGAAGCAAAGCTGATTAAGTCGCAGTCCCTGCGCTCAGTTTAAAGCATGTGTTGTAAAAGTCAGTAAATGGAAATATTTCCATTTATTTATTCAGCTTGAAATCAGAGGAAGCAAAGAATTAGAAGGATCTGATTCTTCACTCAAAATAACTGAGACTACGTGCTTGTTGACTTTTCAGTCCTAAGTAAAACAATTTTCTGGGGAAGTTTAATCAAGATTTAGGTTATTTAAAATTAAAAGTCAATTTGGAAACTTACCCTCCAGACACGCTCTCTGATGTACACAGGGACGTGCACGTATAGCAGGTCATTGCCATGGAGACGGTGGTGACTGGCAAGGCTTATTTACATTATAAATAGAGCAGGATACACGATTCTACCTACTGCTGGGCTTTAGCTAAGGTCATTTCAGGAGGTGGGGGGTTTTAAGAATGGGATACTCCCCCAGCACCCCCTCTGTTGTTCCCCAGCCCCCCAGGGGTTTCGCTCCATGAGTCCTCGTGATCGATGGGCTTCAGAGGCAGCAGTGTGGCCAGCATGCCCCGGAGCCCACGCTCGGCGTGGAAGGCACAGGTTATGCATTTGCTACTGAGATGCTGCCCAAAGGGTCTGATTGAGGCAGTCTAGCAAAACTTCCCTCTCTAGCAAAGCAACGTTTTGTCCCCACTGAAAGCGTTGACTGTTGAGTCGTGTCTGACTCTTTGTGACCCCATGGACTGTCCACCAGGCTCCTCTGTCCATGGGATTTTCCAGGCAAGAATACTAGAGTGGGTAGTCATTCCCTTCTCCAGGGGATCTTCCCAAGCCAGGGATCGAACCCTAGTCTCCTGCGTTGCAGGCAGATTCCTCAGCATCTGGGCCGCCGCTGTCCCCACTGGTATGCTCTAAACACTGGGCTGAGGACTGTGAGGCAGCGGGCACTGCAGGCTAACAGAGTGGCTGAGAAGGCTCTGCGTCCTCTCTGACCAGCTCCCATCCGGCCTCACCCCGATGCCTGCCTGCACCTCAACATGGACTAGAAGAGCTTCAAAGGCACAGATTTTAAGTCAACGTGCTGTTGATTAATTTCACTGCCTTCTCGGTCCCTTATGGATGGCAATTCATGGGAATTTGATGTAAATCCTAACTCAGCTTCAGACTTTTCAGCAACACCAAATGCAGCCAACTGCCAGAAAAAGGAGTCTGGGTGGGGCCTGGGGGCGTCTTGCAGGCGGCGCTCCGTGGTGTGTTACCTTTCCCTCAGAGATAACCAGGTTCCCCAGAATTTCTCCCCAATTCCCTGCGCTTCCAGTGGTTATGCAAATCTACGTACCTTAAAACATACAGATCTAGACAACAAAGAGTCGTTCTTAGAGTTAATGTAAAAGATCAAATAACAGTGAAAAAAACACACCTTTTTAGCATTACATTTGTCTATGTCTTGTTTTTCCTCTAAGGACAAAAGTGCGCCTTCTCCCTGGGGCCTTTTCTGAAGGCGCCCTGCAGCGCACTGTCAGCCCTAGGGCCCGCACCCCTGGGCTCCTGGGGACACGTCCACACAGCAGCTGTGGCCAGGGAGAGCAGCTCAGTGTCATGGTTCACTCTGTGGGTCCCGGCGGGGCGGGGCCGCCCAGACGGCTGAGGGACCTTACTTCCGGGTGTGTCTGGGAGGGTGTCCCCGGACGTGCCAATCCTTTGGGGGCCTAAGTGGAACAAACAGGCAAAGGAAGGGTGGGCTGTTCCCTGCGCCGGCCGTCGGAGCTCTTGGGTCCAGCCTGGGGACTGGGTTGAACCTCCTGGCCCTACATCTGTCTGCTCTGCATGTCGAGATGTGTGTCTGTCTGTCTGTCCTGCCGGTTCTGCCTCTGCAGGACCTAGGCACATGGTTGAGTGGCGGAGGAGGAGTGGGGTGGGCCGGGCAGAGAAAGGACACCTGCCAGAGATCCGTCAGGTGGGAGGGTGAGCCAGGGAGCTCTGCATCTATATTTCTCAACAACAGGAAGGTGAAATCACAGATGAAACGGCTGGAGATGCCCACCGCAGAAGGGGCGGCTCCACGGGGCACACATGGTGCCAGGCCCCATGTCAGGGTCCAGGACGGGGCTGAGCCGGTGGGGATCCCTGGGTGGGGCGGCCGGGCTGCGGACAGATGCCTGGGTGCTGAGCTGAGATGCTTGGGGAGGGGACGGCAGAGCCAGCCGGGAGCTGCAGTGGGCACTCCCGCTCTGCGCTGTGCCCTCTGGCTGAGGTGCCGTCTTGGAGGACAGCAGAACTGGGCACCAGAAAGGGTCCTGGAGACCCTCCCAGCCGTGGATCGCCTCCTGCAGGTGAGGAAACCGAGGCCCCAGGGACCCGGGTCCTCGTCTGAAGTCGGAGCAGAGCTTTCCCGGGCACCAAGGTGCAGAGCCCCCGACTGCCTACCCCGACCCATGGTGAGCTCGTTTGCCTGATGGCTGGGGCGCTGGAGCCCACACCTCTCCTCCTCTGGTTTGCTCACGGGTCCATCTGACAGTTCGCGCGTCTGCCAGGCTAATGAGCAGAGAGACACACATGCAAGGGCAGTGTCTGCTTCCACAGGACATCCTAGAAACTCCAGCAGGACAGGGCACGCCAGCTCGTGGGGTGGGGTGAGACTCGGCAGGCTTCACAGCGGCGGCGTGACTCAGAGGTGGCGGGACGGCGCTCTGGCACAAACCGCTTGGGATCACTGGGGTGATGTGTGTGGGAGCAGGGGTCTGAAGCAACAGAAGCTAGCTTTTAAAAGTCTGTACGAAGGCGATGAGGCTGGGCAAGCAGGCACAGACGGGTCAGGATTCTACCTCATGACATTGAGTTAGGGGGAGCTATGAGAGCCGCAAGCAGAGAGGTCATGGACTCCAGATGTCAGTAGACCACACTGCAGATGGCGCGGAGGGGCTGAGACCAGGACAGGAGACTCCGAGGAAAGGACCGCAGGAATTCCAGCAAGAGACGAAGGCGGGCGGTGGGCAGGGCATGGACTCCAGAGGCAACCAGGGTGCAACCCAAGGGAGTCCCGACCCATCACAGGCTGCCTGATCCAGGGCAGGGTAAGAGACCTCGCGCGACTGTAGGAAAGATGGGCTGCTGTGGTTTCAAAGGTCCTGGTAAGCAGCGCCTCTCTCTCCCCCGGGCTCAGTAACAGCTGTCCGACAGAGGAGAGCAAAACCACTTCCATCGTGCATCCAGCCGCCTGGACACGGACCTGCGGTCCTGTGAGTTTCCAGTCCTGCGCCGTGACGGGGGAGGCGGCAAGGCCACAGCTGGCCCGGAGCCCGGGAGGGCGCCCCGCTCCCCGCTCCCTGCTGGACACCCCCGTGTGCCTGGCTGGTCCTCCCCCGGGGCGGGGCGGGCACGTGTCTCCAGCAGGGCCTCGGGGGCTCCTCGCATCCTGCAGGCTGATGGCCTGGGTGACACCCCGCTCTGGAGGAGCCCGCTCAGGAAACAGGCCACAGTGCTGCCTCAGCGGAGAGAAAGAGGGCCCCACGGTGACTGGAAATGAGGCAGAGTTAGGAGTTTCACCTTCAGTGAGGCTGTCACTATACCTGACCACATGAGTTGTGCCAACCTTACCCCAGGTGAACTGAGCTGGCTGGAGAGAAAGAAAAACCACGTCTGCGGTCCTGGGGGTTTCTTAAAGAGCTGAAGAAACAAACAGGACACACACATCTTAAACAATTCTGATACCTGCCTGAAAACCAGAGGAAAACATAATGGCCCCCAAGCTCTGCGTGAATGCCCAGTTTTTAGTGGAGAAACTGCCCCTGCTTCTCGCTGCAGCTTCTGGACCCCGTCCCGCGCTTAGCACTTCCTCTCAGTTCTGAGCATTTAATTTCCAGGCTCCCTGCCGCCTCCGTGACCTCGCCTGTGCCCTGGGCTCCTGGGAGCCCTTTTCCCCGCGCGCCTGTCCACCCCCGTCCACGCTCACGCTGCCCACCCGCCTGGCGCCTACGGCTTCTTGCTCACGGAGACCCCGCAGCACCCTCTGCCCTCCGGGACGGTCTTACCGTTCACGGGCAGTGGCAGTGATCATCCCTGGAGATGCCGGCCCCCCGGGAACCGGAGGACAAGCCCCCGCGCCTGGCCTGGAGCCCGCGCCCGGCCGCCCTTCCCCTCGCTCCCCTCCCTGCTCTCACACTCGGTCCCGCGGCCCAGACGCGCTGTGATGAAGGACCCCGTGCACCCGCCGGCGCCCAATCCTGTGGATGGAGTGGCCCTCCCCGGCCGGCACCTGCTCCCCGCACCTGCCCTCCCTGGCCTCCGTCTCGCCGCGTTTCCCTGCGTCCCCCGCACAGGCCCGGCCGTGTCCACACTGGTGCCTCCGTCCTCCCCGAGTGCCCTGCTCCCCGCTGCTTCCCCTCTCCGAGCAGCCCAGTCAGGGCCGAGAGGACCCTGCCCCGTGGAGCGCTGCGGTTCTGACGGACCCTGAGCTCGCAGGCCTGTAAAGAGCAGCCAAACACACGCCGTGGGCCCTGATCCCAGACGCCGGGGGACACAGAGCACAGAAGGCTTCTGGTTCGGGATCAAAGAGGCTTCTACCCGACACTGAGAACATGGTTTGAAAGGGTTAAGAAAGAGAGAAAAGTCAGGAACAAAGACACCTAAATGTAACGAATGGTTTGTTTTGGTTCGCCCTGGCTAGTGGTCCCCAACACTGACAGGCAGAGCACAGAGCCGCCCCTGTCAGAGGGAGTCTCCTGCAGGGTCTCCTATATAGTTATTCTACCCTGTAATACATCTGCTTGGTTTACTGTTAACATGTTTTA